AGATTAGTTAATTATTGTTGGAGCAAACATTTTAAGCATGCAGAAAATTAATACTTATTTAACTGAGAATGATGAGATGACTAACGGAAAGAGTAAAAATCAAGAGGAAACCGCAGGAGTAATTTAATGTACAAGGTCGAATAATATTAGAGTAATATTATGTAATACTTTAGTAATATTTGGGTATTAAAAGAAGTATATCTGTTACACGTAGGTTGCGCGCATGCATTATCCTCCTTCCTCCAATCTCTTTTTATTACTTGAGTATTACTTGAATAACTAATAATGATAGACAGCAATAAATTGTGGTTATCAAATTAATTGAATATGCTGCAAATGAAAAAGATATAAAAATTGACTACTAATGTACAAATTGTACAAATTAGAAATAATTTAAGTATCCCAAAAGAATGTTAAATTTCAAATATGCAGCTTTCTCTCTTTCTAACGACATATTCCACTCATCAACATTTATAGGTGAAGCACTATTTTGCAGAGCTGACTCTATTCCATTTATGTGTGTAGCAGAAATCGTAGTTTAGTAATAAACGGAAAAGTTATTTCCATGTGAAAAATTAATTGAATTGCATGCTACTGTTGTTGCAAACATGTCATCGGAACCATGTTGCTCACTATTTAATAAGTAATAAGTTAATATAATAAAAACTATAGAAATTGTCTATCTCTCTCTTGTGTGTGTGTGTATTAAACTGATTAATAGCGGTTTTACACAACCATGAATTGATGTAGGTGTATTATGGTTCAATTATTTGTAATAATTAGGTCTAATTTAGAATACTAATATTGGTTTCATACCAACTTCTAATAATTCAAGTTATTTACTATACCACTATATCTTCTACTTGTTTTACGACATGAAAAATTGACAATAGCTTTGTTCGAAGAACAAATTTGCAACGGTTTGAATTTGGTACCATATGCGCATGTTTTACCAATTCTTGTATCTTTATCTCATATTTTCTATTATGTATGTACATAACAAATAGAAACTCAGTATTAATAATAAATTAATATAATTATTATTATTTATGAAATCTTCATTGATTAAATTATTACTGATAATGTTCGATAATGATTGAAATTGATATGTTTTCTAATTAAATTAAATCAAGCATTTAAATATAAACTCAAGTTATAAGTTAACAAGATAAAAAATATCACAAATTGAACAGAACTGTAGTGAACTTATGCACATGTATGTACTAAACCAAAAATTTCTTAATCGTTGGGAATTAACCTGATCAGTTCCAACTAATTGAAACACCAAATTTATTGTCACCCTTGATGAGTTGCTGTTTTTCGAACGCTCTAATTTCTCTTAGTTCAGTTCTTTGAACAAAGATTATAATGAGGTAGAAACAGTTCAATACTTATAAGTTTTCCATGAATTTATTATCGTCGATGAACTGACTACAATTTTATGTAAGTATTACCATTATACAATGGTATTACACATAACAATGAATTCAAGTTAAAAAAATTATTAATTATTTCTGTACTGAGTAAAACTGCTATAAGTATTAAGCAGACTAAGGTACCTACTATTCAATTTAACTTGTAGAAGCCAAGTCGGCCTTGATAAATACCAAGGAATTTCATAGTCTACACATCAGTGGCGTGATATGTACAAGATATAACATGAATAAGTGAATAAGCTAAAACGGAATATTCTTTAAGCAAAAATAAGCAAAAAAGTTTATTTAGTTTTTTTAAATCTATCTTTATTTCATATTCCACAAATTGGTATTCATAGATTGGTCACGTGGCTTGTAAACATTTATGAAGGTTCTGTAGAATGTATATATCTATTGTTTGCGTACGGTCAAGAATCTAGTCAAAAAAAGTAGGCGACTGTGGCACTTACCCTAAGCCTCGATGTTACAAAGCGAGAGTTTTTAATTATGATTTTCCGCGAGCTGAGTCACGCGCAACTACGGTGAACTTTGCAGTCTTTACAATTTACATGTGCTTTTTCTTTCTTGTTTTTTAACGCGTATATACGAAGTTAAGCAGAATGAAAATGGAATTAATTATTACTTACTAATTATTAAAATAAAGAGAAAAAAATTAACAAAACTACTTAATTAGGTACTATTTTCAAATTTTCGTATATTTTTAGACACTAAAGCATCATAAAGACAAAGATATGTTTTCGTCACCAGGTAATACAAATAAATAACAACAAAGTTCATATTCAACAACAATAACGATAATAAATACATAAATTACATTTAAATGCTTCATCAAGTACTTTAGTAGTAGATAATGTACATTTTAGAGTATGAGCAGTCATTTCTCATTCTATTGACTAGTGATTACCGAAAAATTCAGTTGCTAAAAGGCAAAATAAAATCTAACAAATTTATTTATTTTTATTAAATTAGCATTTTACTAAATCAATATTTTTCTTCGTCTATACTAACAGATAACAAAAAATATATACTTAGAATTCTCATTCCTTTAAAAATATCCAATAAATAAACAAAAGTGTGTACTGCCGCAGTTAACTCATATTATTTCTCTAAAAACATATTGGATTGTATTCCAGAAATTTTAGTCTTCTGCAAAAAGTATATTCAGATACCTAATTGTCATAAAATATAAATTAAAAACAATGCACAAAAACAAGTGGTAACAAAATAGTACATTATCGTTTAAATACGAAAAATATAAAAAGGTTTAGATCGGTAAAAATAATACCTATTTTCCATGTAAAATATTTCTGAGAGTTTTTGCGAGAGCACTCTGTAGTTGAATATTATTTATTTTTTCATGGTCTTCAAAAATAGTTAATAGATTTATTTTATAATATTGAACACAGGTTTGTTTTAAAAAAAGCCACAAAATATATAAACACTGTTAAAAACAATCGTATAGGCAAAGGTATGTGGGACGACGACCCCCTTTACTTAAAAAAAATCTATGCCTATAACAATTTCGTGTTAGTTAATTTTCATTTTTTCAACTTGCCATAATGCCCCTTTTAAAATAGTGTCTCTTGTGATTTTTTGAAATAATAAAAGCAAACTATTCTCTTCACTTCTTTGTTTTTATTTTACTTCGGAATATTATTTAGCAAAAGAAGGATGTTATGTAAATATTTGAAAAGCTTATTCCATTGAGCCCTTTCTCTACAATTCAGTCCGGAGAATTTCTAATGAAGATTGCAACAAAATTATATACGACATAACAACACCCACAACACCATCTTTGTAAACCTTTTAAAAGTTTAAATTATAAGTTTTGGAATACCTAATCTTCCAACTACGTAAACTATAAAAAGATTCAAAATGCAATCTGATAGTGGCAATACATCATTGGTATCTCTTCTTGGAGTACGTCCTTTTAAAAACACTAAACAAAATAATCCATTAGGTTTAGGTTGGGTGATTCGTGCTACAGCTATAGACCTTATAATAGGAAATTTTATTGAGGTGGCAATCGACCTATCTAACTATTTCCAAATTTGAGAACAGGAGCCGCAAATTAATCAGAATTGTTAATAAAGATTAATAATAATCCTGAATGTTAGATAGGTCGATTCACCCCATCAAAATTTTGGTGGAGCAGCAGGTGTAAGTCCTACAAGTTGGCTACTACCACCACCCGATCTAAATCAGGGGTTTCTAAGGAACAGTGTTTACATTATATTCGTAGAGACGAATCAGTGTGCCTAAGGAGAGGAGTGTGATTATTAGGTCCGCCGTAAATAGGTATCCTAAAGGCTCCTGTACACGTTTGGCCAACTAGTTGGGCCAATGAGTTGGGCCAAAAATGAGGGCACTGTTTACACGTTGGCATTGCTCATTCTGCATTGGCCATTTAACGAGCATAGATGTAGAAACTGTCGCTGCCGCGGTAATTTATTTGTATAGTACTTTTAATTATTATAGAAATGTGTACCAAAGAACCACTATTCCATACCGCCATCTTAGCTCGTAAATATAATCATTACGCTGCAAGCTGCAACACTATCCTTTCCGCTTAAACGGCAACTACGTAATGAAGAAGAGGCCAACGTGTGAACACTGTTGGCGGATTGCACCAATGTCTTTTGATGTGTGCACGAAAAACCGACAACATTCGCCAAGTGGTCTAGTACACGTTGGCCCAACCCATTGGTCAACTAGTTGGCCAAACGTGTACAAGAGCCTTAAGAAAAACACCATATAATATTAGAGAGATGTACTGTCACTGACGAATTACATTTTGAATATGTTTTATAGCTCACGCAGATAGTAGATTAGATAGATTAGATTTCAAAGATGAAAATAATTTGTTCTATTTATATATCATAAGTATTGTATTTATATATCACTTAATTGTTGTTTTATGTCATAAATAAATTTTAATTTTGTTACAATCTGTATTTGAAATAGAACAAATTCAGCTTTTCAAATATCTGTCTATAGTATTTGCTTCCTTATTTAGAAGTTTATTAGATAATTTGTTAATAATATGTCCCGCAACTAAAGGAAAACTCAGCAGGTAAGAGAATAGTTTAAATTAACTCTTTCGAAAAATACTAAAAATCACAAGATACATTTTTTAATAAGAGCTTTATGACGTTTTAAAAAACTGAAAATTATTGCCTATGCACTTATTGTTAACAAAGCTTTTAATGTAATTTTATGTCCTTTTTTTATAACGAGACTACATCCAAAATTAAAAAAAACATTTGTTTAAGCCATTTTGATGTTATACGGAGAAAAAAAAAATAAATTTCAACTCTGTACCTACCTCAAAAAACATGTGCCTCACGAAAAAAAATTGTAGGGCAAAAAATTATTATTTTCATACAATCTATCCATTTTGAAATTTTTCGTATCTAAAAGATACCCTAGTTATAACACATTTTCTAAGATGCAGACAGGATTATACATATAGATGAATAAAAATAATATAATTTAGAGAAAGTTATTTGGACAGCATATTACTTTCGTACCTACTAATCATGAGTAGAAAAAGTGAATACTTACTTTTGATATGTGAGACTTTAGTCTTTGTTAACATGTAATGTTTCTCAGACTAATTTGCATGCAAAGGTGTTTTTAGTTCCATAAGAAGGTTACAGTGAAAGACAACAACGAGAGACCGGTTAGATTGTACCATTGGCCAACGACCGCCACTAGTTATGTTCCACTACAAACAAACCGATTCACCTGAGTGTTTTCTTACAACAATATTCCACTTATAAATTTGTAATATATACTGAGCAATCTTTCTTCTTAACGGGTGGGGGAAGAATAGCTAAATAATTTTCGTTTTTAGTCGCTTTTCAATAGGTACCTAATAGACTATAACAAATCTAATAGGTTAATTACTTACCTTTGAAAAAACAATACGACATACCTCTATTACTTAATTATGACGTAAAAAATATAATTTAGAACAAATGGGTATTGCTGAAATTACTTTGTTTTCATATACACTAGTCACAAAAATTAGAGGATAAAAAATCCTAAATTTTTAAGTGATTTTTAAAACAGCTGATAGTCAAATATTTTTATCTTTGAAATCATAAGCAATCCAGTTGAAAAATAATTTAATAATTTTTTAGTTTGATTCATCATCATTAATTTGAGCTGTTCAAGAGTACAATGATTTGTCGGTGAGTTATCGTCATTCAAAGAAAAAAATACCTTTTTGGCTTTGATAATAATTAATTACTTGGAAACTAATAATCGTACAGAAAATCTAAGCAGGGTTTTGAAAACTTAAAAGTATCCTCTTACCGTTTTATGATAAAAAAAACTACATATTCAAAGGTTTTCGCTAAACTTCAGACAATTTTACAAATAATGAGTAGATTAAGGATATTTTCCGTATTTTTTTAACCTCAAAATATCTTAAAGAAACCCTCCAGAATTCAAACCGCTGCGATTTTTATTACATTGTGATCCGATTGATTGGAATTGTCACTTTTGCTAAAAATCAATTTTGCATCTTTTGTTAATATACCACAGTTACATATCCTTTATCAGTAAGATTGGTGAAAAAAATCTCCATATATATAGTCGATCATATTGCTTTTTTAATTAATCTCTCTGTAAGCAGTGGTCACTTTCCAAAAGTCCTAAAACAATCAACAGTAGTTCCAATTTATAAAAGTAATAGCCCCGGGGATATTGCAAACTATAGCCTAATACATGAACGCGTATTTTTCAACAGAGTTTTCGCTTTTATTGATAAATATAACATAATGTCAAGTTGCCAACCTGGCTTTCAAATAGATAAATCGACCCAATCAGCCGCATGCAATTTTACTGAACAAATTTATAAATTGATGGATAAAGGCATGCATGTTGCAGGCATTTTCTTTGATTGACGCGTGCATTTGACTGTGTCAATCTGTCATTTGTTGAAAGCAAGTTATACAATATGGGATTTAGAGGGATATTCTTAAATTGGTTGATCCACTATCTCACTGATAGATCCATGTGTGTTAAAATAAATGAGTGTATTTCGGAAACTAGAAATATTGATTTAAGCGTACCTCAGGGATCCGGGCTGGGTCCATTAATATTTTTGCTATATGTTAACGATTTAGTACAACATTTTGACTCTTCCGCACTAACGTTGTTTGCTGACGATATATCTCTAGTGATCTCGGCACGGACCCTCAAGGAACTTACTGCAAATTGTGAAAATGTTATTGATTGTTTTGTAAAGTGGTGTGACTGCAATAATCTTATTATCAATATTAAAAAAACAAAAGTTCTGTACTTTCGCTCTCTTAGCGCGCCTGATGCTAAGCTGTGCCTACATTTTAATAACTTTATTTTACATTCTTCGGAGAGTTCTAAGTTTTTAGGTGTTCATCTTGATTATCAATTAACCAGGGCATGAACATGTGGATGTTCTCAGTAGGTCACTCAATATATCGTTTTACACAATTTCTCGTGTTAAGAATACTATGCCGCTGTGTGCACTACTAAATGTAGGTATACTACAACTTAGTATACTGTCATATTTCTTATAACGTAATTTTGTGGGGCAACTCAGTCAGCAGTAATCGAATATTTGTGGCCCAGAAACGGATCCTTAGGAAAATATTTGGCATTAATTCTCGTGAAACATGCAGAAATTTATTCGCGGAAAACAAAATATTGACGGTTCCCTGCATCTACATCTATAAAATATTAATATATGTTAGAGATAATTTTAGTAAAAACTCTCGTTATCATGAATATTCCACGCGGAATTGCGGTTTATTGAGTGTTCTGAAGCATAAAACTACTAAATTTGAAATGTCTCCTATGCACCAGGGCATCAAATTTTATAATAAACTTCCACATTACTATACATCTAAAGATAAGGGAATGTTTAAAAAATTAATTAAAGAAATGCTACTCATCAAATTATATTACCTACAGCACTGAAGAATATTTAAATGACAATTTGTAATCAGAGATATGTGTATAAATATGTCTTGTGCTTGTCTTTGTACATTGACCTGTCCTATACATTTTTGTCTCAAAGGATTAATAAATATTATTATTATTATTATAAAAAAACTGTGCTATGTAAAAACTGCACCATTTTACTGCATACTTCTCATATCCATAAAATGCACAGTTTTCAAGAAAAACTTTTCATTCAGTGCTGCACTATTTTTTATTAATATTGGTTAAATAGAGCCTTCATAAATGTTTACAAGAAGCCACGTGACCCTCGAGCTTATTCAACCAACATTGCAGGGTTGGTACTGGTAATGAAAAATCTTGGCGCCACAAATATTAANTTATTATTATTTTTCATAAAAAGAAGTAATATTAAATATTTAATTTACAATATTTAAAAAAACTACATAATTTCCAAAACACAGAAAAAATGTTGGATTAGTTTTGAGGCAAACAATTTTTTTTGTAATTAAAACTCTTGGAAATGATTTTTGCACTAGAGTAAGCATTCGAGATTTGTGGAAGGAAAAATACAGCAACTGAATACTTCGAACAATTTCTTTTTCTAACGATCCTTCTGAAATATACATTTTATGTTCTAACTTTTCCTTTCTATTCCTCCTTTTACTATTTAAAGTATGATGGTCGCTGTCAGTTCTATGGAAGCGTTGGATGTAACCAGTTGCAAAGGCCACTGCGAAACATATCAGAGGATCACCATTGTATGAGGAGATGTTCAGTCCGTAGCGATCTTAGATCCACTAAGAATCGAAATGAATATTAGGATCATCAGGGCAGATTCAGGAGTTCCAATTGCGGGTTCGCCCCACAGAGCGTAGGCCGAGAACAATAAGAGAAGGTCAAATATTCTTAGCTAAAGTTAAGGAAGTGTTTGAAAATTATGAAATGTTTATTTTTAATCAATCATTCAAAGATTATTCTACTTGATAAAGTGAAATAAAGTAAATGAATGAAATGAAATTGTATAAAAATTAAATCTATTGTATTTCAAAAACTGTTCATTTCATCGAAATAAATGCAGATTACCTAATTTAAAGAAAAATCTTCAGAGTACCTATATAAAATAATATTTTTTTGCTTGAGTGCATGATATCTGTTAAAATTTTGGAAAAATATATATGGCACTTTCATTTCTTGATACCTAGTAACAGTAAAAGATCGGATTTAACATAAAATCATGTATTCAGTATAAATAAAATGCCAAAATTATATTGGATTATATCAGGTGGTTTCAAATTTAGACAACAATAACTAGGTACCCCCTTGGGGCCCGACATCTCCTTTATGAGGAACATTAGGAAAATAATTATATCACGTACTAGTGTTATTTTGACCTCCCCTAGAAGCATCCGAGACATTAGTAGACATCTTGCGCAGTTTGCTCTTTTGAGGAATCAGAAATGAAAACACTATTTGATTTGTAGACTAAGACTAAAACAACTTCTTGTTTTCCTTATTTTTTTATATTTTCTATTAGATATTTTTCTCAAATTGAGAGCGTAATATGTCATGGTAGCACCTTTAATAGCAAGTACATATAAATATTGTCAAATCTGAAATTTGTGTGTTTAACATAAGTACAGCAGTCAACTAGACAGTCATGCGTTTTCCGTCATCTAGACTTTTGTGTTCACCTGTGAACAAAAAAAGCATTTGCCAAAACAAGTTACTTATTTGAAGTCATACTTTAGCTACGCCTGTATCAAGTTTTATTTACTGAGATAGGTACTATAAAAAAGGAGAATATGAACAAATCTGTAAGAAATCTAATCAGGTGCAAACGTGCCCTGTTTGTTTATAACATTTAATTATAGACTGCGCAATTTACCATTAACTTACTTCGGTTTATGGAACCGATTTTTGGATGAATTTCTGTTGAGAAATGAACGTTTGGTATTAAACGTTGAGATCAAGAAATGTGTTTCACAATAGAAGACTTGGCACAGCTAATGGATCAAGTGATCGTTATTTTATTCGTGACACATTCCATATTAGTTTCCCTCAAATTTCACATTCGTTGCTGCGTGATCGCCACTGTATAATCCGAATTACCTGGTTTATTAAATAGATTCTGGAAATGTTAAATGACAACGTAAGGAAAATCACATAATCAGTGAAAGCTTATTTCTGTGAATCACTATACAAAATGTAAGAAGTAGATTCCTAGTTTTCTACAGTATACCGAGATTATGTAAAGATTCGATTTTTCAGCACAAGTCCGTGTTGAACGAGCTGTAGTTGACGATCAAGTCAGCTATAAACACTGGTGAAATTCATCCGCTGATTCTGGTATACTTTTAAGAAATTTCCTAGTAAGCGGATTTGATCTGTTTCACAATCCTCAAATACATTTATAAAAGAAATCATTAAAACTTAAAGTCCTAAAGAGCTTGACTGACTCATACGGAAGAAAATCATAATTATTTCCAGTATTTTAAACTTAAACAGCCTGAGTTGTTATTCTTAGACTTAGAGTAAGTTGATAACATTAGCTATTTACTAGAAAAAACGCATCTAATATTTATTAACACCCTAAGAATGATAAAATTTTGCAATATATTGAGGCAAGCTTTAAACCGTTTTTTATATGATTGTTAAGTATGCAGTTTTATTAAATCAACTTTAATTTCACATAAATAAGAATGAATTTTTAAAAATTTGAAGATAATTTACCGAATTTTTTTTACAAAAATTGCAAAAAATTGCGAAATAGTCTAAAGCAGCAACTTCGGTTTTTCGTAGGAATGGTTAATGTTACTGAATTAGAACAAGAGTAATTTCTTCTGTTATCTTTGCTGTTCTTTAATTCGCAAATAAAAAAGTCATTCATTTTGTTTCCAATAATGGCCGTTTAAGTCCTTTAAGGCTTTAGAATTTTGATGAATTTTCTTAGTAGTTTTTTACCAGTAACATATTATGTATACACTAAATTTGAATAAATTTTTTTAGTTTTTATTGTCATTTCAACCTGGGTATTTGATGTAGGAAGGTGTATCAAAATCACAGGTTGCAAATCAAGAGCTTTATTTGAATGCTGAAGATATTTCAATAAATCATGTTCAAGGCTGTCAACTGAAAAGAATAGGGCATTGACTAGGTCAAAATCCTTTGAAATATATTCATGAAAATTTAATGTTTTCACCACAACAAAATCTTTGTTTAATTTATGTTCCACATTTCGTTTTTCAGCGTATGAACCAGTTGTGTAGGTAGCTACATACTTGTTTCTCATCAGTGTCTAGATATGTACCTGTTTACCAAAACATAACAATTCCATTACGTCAAAGATCAACTAAGTATATAAAATAAGCATATGTTTGAAATTTCTTTTATGTATTGGTGCTGAATATTAATTATCAATAAAATCTTGATACAGATGAAAGTTAGAGTACTGAGTTTTATTGCACGTCATAGAAAATATAGGGTGTTTTGTTACTGGAATTTGGTACGGAGACGTTTCTGATAGACTTTTAATAAATATTGTTGCATTATTTAATTAAATTTTCTCTTGTTTAATAATTTGAAAGGTATTTCTGAATTTATTAATGTTGAAATTATCTACAATGGTTAAAAAAGGTATTCCAATATTCCGTATAGTTAAGTGACGATTTAACTAAACTTCAACCCAAAAGGCTTCGTTAACCACCAGTTGATGCCAAAGTTGGTAAAAAATAGATGTTTTCTAATAACTTTAAACGTCTTTTCTGATTAGAATAAAATTTGCCATGTTAGTACTCTGTATAGATTTCACTTTTTGATATAGGAACCCAATTAATTGCATTTACAAATATTGGAAAAAATATCCCTACTTATATTTTTTTGGATTTCAGTTCTTACTTCATATAAAGCTACAAGAAAGTTTTTTGCTCTTTGCGTAATTTATTTGGCGGGCACCAATACAAATGTTGCATTACCATTTTCCTCAAAGTCCGTAAAATTATCTAATAACATCGATATTTAAACCTATAAGCACGCTTCTGTTTGGCGACTTATGTTTAAAATGTTAGAAATGAAATATAAACAGAAAAATAATAATTCAATTTTGTAAGAAAATTGTTGATTTATAATGAGAGAAATGAGAAATGAGTGTCTCACTCGAATCGTTTGGAATAGTTGAAATAATAATGCTTAGCCCGTATTCTACTTACAATTCAATTATTACGAGTTAAAATTTGATGCTGTGGCGATAACTCTGCCGTCAGTACCATCTAGTGGCCAGAGATCGAACTACAACTTGGCCATTAGCCATTATAGTTTCCCTTAATCGAAAATTATTTATCTATTTCTGTTCATTAAATTCTACTTAGAAATCTGTTTCGTTTTTATGACAGTGTCCCAGGTAGTTAAAATTCTTTGCGTAGCATGTTCTTGTCGCTTTTATCGCGGAAATATACAAATGGTGAGTGAGTAGAGGGAGTGTACAGTCGTTCTACACCTAACCTATTAATTTTTATATATTTTGTTATTAAATATCATGAATACGTTCCTCGAAATATTTGTTAAATTACAGTATGTTAGTGGCGTCAAAGTTAGTGATGGGCTTTACAATTTTAAGTAACAATTCCAGTTGATTAGTGCTGTGTTATTTATAAACAAGAGTAGTTGTCAATATTGTTATGTTTACCTGTGTGCAATAATTAATCTTTTATTTCGTAAAGTGACGCAATAATGAATTCACGAGTGCATTTACAACCCTTTCTCAACAATTCCCTTGCGATCAGACAAGAAATTCAAAGATTTGAAAGTGTTCATCCTTCGATTTATGCAATTTACGATCTGATAGGTCTAATACCGGATGGAATCATCGCTCAACAGATAAGGGATCACGTCGTTTGCATTGAAGGTAAGATTTAAAATTTTCTATCAGCTGTTTATATTTTCTGTAATTTTGTGCGCCATAATAATTAAAATCTTTGTATCAACTTCATTAATATTACAGTTAAAACTGCTACGAGGTCAATAAAAAGTACAGGTACCTAGGTACATTTAATAATTTAAGGACGTGCATGGAGGTTAATTAAGTAGGTACCACGTTTATTTTATACAAACCCAATTATTGGCACACTAACGGTAAAAAAATACCGACCATTTCTTCCGAATGTACAATATAACAATTACAGTATATACTGCTTTCGGTTTCTTGTGGTGCATTTAAATTACGGTAAAACTGGTTTAAATGTAACGTAACCTATTTGGTTACCTACTTACATAAATTGATGAAATGTGTATAAAGTACTAAAATACTTATTGACAGTACACAAAATAGCTATTTCCATAGCTACTTGTCTGTGACCTTCTACTTGGATTTTAAACAATACTAATACGAGCTGCATGTACCTACTTCTGAGGGTAGGTAGCTACTTTTATAAATTCAAAGCTCAACTAAACATTGGATTTCAATAATTAATCCTTTTTATACAATTATATATTTACCCTTAATACTTTTTAGGCGAAATTTCTAAGTAAAATCTGCCTATATAGGTATTGTAAGTAGTAGGTACCTAATTAAGTAATAATTAAATTTGTCATTAAGTAAATTTTTTTTAATTTCTATTTTAAACAAATAGAAACAGTTTTAAAAATAGCAGTGCAAAGGTACCCATCTCGGTACCCATAAAATTGTATTTTATTAATCACCATGACGATTAATTACTTATATGTCGACTATTTTTGGAACAGATTTTATTTGTACCTGTTTATTATGCTATTATTATGTGTATTCTGTAATTTTGTGTAATTTTGTGTAATTTAAACATGTTATATAATAAATAAAATTGCGTATCAAATAAAAAATAATATTTCTTATCAAATAAAAAATTGCTACGGCACTACCTGCGCTAACTTTAAATCAGAGACACTCCAATTTTGGTTAAAAAATATAATTTGCATTTTATTGCAGAATTGTTCGGATAAATTTTAATTTTCTTTAAATATGCAAGTATTCAAATGAAGTTTGGAATGCATACGGAATGTTAAAGACAGTGGCGTGGCATTTAAGAAAAAAAACATGCCTATACAACTTCTTGCTACTAAATTCGTTCAATTCGAATTATTTATAAAAACTTCCATCAAAATATTATAAGTACATATTATTTTAATTCTGAGGTTAATTCTAATGTTCTAAATTACATATATTTACACATTATTACACACACAACAATTATAGACCTCGTTATATTGCAAACTATTACAAGCATAATTTGCAAAAATTTGTTTTTAAGGTAACCCCATGGAAATGTATTCAGAGAATTTTAATCAATGCTATTAGTTAGTTACTGAATATTTACGAATTTACGTATCCAAAAGTTAAAAGTCTTACTCAGTCAGTATCAGAATATTAGGTATTGAAAATGAGTTTTGGTCCTAACTTTGGTAACAATACATATTATATAATTCAGAAATTTACTGAATATTACTTTTAATTTTTGGATGGGTAGATTTGGCTATATTCACTTGCCTGCAAATAACCCCTATTTAAGCCATCTGTATACATAATTGCGAGTTTACCCCCTAAAAACAACCGTAATGACGAGAAACAAAATATTCCGGATAGGTACTCGTAATAAAATCCGAGAATTAGAATTAATAAATTTGAAAAAGGAAATAATAGCAAAATCGATAAATTAATTAAAACGCAATTATATGTTGTGCTTAGAACAAACTGAAAGCTATTTTGAACATTTATTCTAGACCTCGTTCTAGACAATAAAATTTCTAACTTTCATTTACATACTTTTTTTCGTGTTGAAAACGTAGGGAAAATATGGGTGAGTGCTTAAATATTCTCCTATATTTCTCAAACGGTCGGACCAAATATACAGGCTCTTACAAATTCGCTTCTCACTACAGGGATCTCGGAAACGGTAAGAGATACGAAGTAGCTTAAATGGGGACAAAGTTGCGTAATTGGGGGACTAACATTATGCCTCCAAAAAATCAAGGCTAACATGATTAGTTTTCGAAATATTTGAAAAAAACAAAATTTTGGAAATCCTCTTTTGTTTAATTTCTGCCTTGTTTGAGGTGATATTGAAAGAAGAACACTTTCTCATGGCCACTTTTTGCCCTCTATCGAATGGCATAATCAATTTTTATATGTAACGTTTCGTCCCTCCAGGACCATCATGAACTTCATTTTTTTAAATACGACCCTGGAAAATTTATTACATTTTTTGCAAGCCTTCATGATTGGGATACTGTACTACCTCAGTCATCAAAAATTCATCTTCAGTGTATTCGTTCCAAATTTATCTTAATTTTTTATTTAGATTTCTTTGTTTATTGAATTATCGTACACAGTGTCGTTAGACCCTGGAAGTACATCTAGTTATTTAAACTATTACCACCACGCATTAAAATAAAACATTATTAGAGTTTTATTCCCGTGTCCATAGTTATTTCTAGGCTTCTCGAGTGTTCAAAATTCAAACAAATTACGATCTATTTTTTCAGGATATTCATACAAATACATCTGACATGCTCTTTCACAGTTGCAGTTACAGATAGACTAAATTTTGATAATATTACGCTGATATTCATTTTCAACCTTTGCCAAAACGAAAGTGTTTTTAAACATTTACTAAAATTTTTTAAAGAATAATGTTCAGTTGACGATTTAGTTGTTCATAATATGCATTTTTAAGAATTACTTTGTCATAATAAAATTAAAATTGTAATAATGTTTTAATTTTGACGCAACAACTTATTGAATTATGTATGACCAAGTGATGGTAATAGTTAATAATAATAAATGTTTTATTGTAACGCCTGGTGGTAATAGTTTAAATAACTAGATGGATTTTACAGGGTCTAACGACACTTACAGTGTACGATAATTCAATAAACAAAGAAATCTAAATAAAACATTTAGATAAATTTGGAACGAATACACTGAAGATGAATTTTTCGAGGCAAAACGTCTAAATCCGGTTCGGGCTGAGGCAGTACAGTGCTGGGGGTCATGAAGGCTTGCAAAAAATGTAATAAAATTTCTAGGGTCGCATTTAAAAAAAATAAGTTAATGATGGTTCGGAGAGACGAAACTTCGGACGAAACGTTACATAGAAAAATTTATTATGCCATCCGATAGAGGGCAAAAAATGGCTATGACAAAGTGTTCTTCTTTTTTCAATATCATATCAAACAAGGCTGAAATGAAACCAAAACGGATTTCCAAAATTTCGTTTTTTTTAAATATTTCGAAAACTAATCATGTTAGCCTTGATTTTTTAGAGGCATAATGTTGGTCCCCCTGATTACGCAACTTCCTAACTCTTACCGTTTCCGAGATCCCTATAGTGAGAAGCGAATTTGTAACAGCTTGTATATCTACTAGCCAAAATCAGCTATTATAAATCAAGAATGAAGAAAATCAAAAAATAAGTATATAGGGCTTCCATTAGAAGAAAAAACATAAGTTTGGTTTGCTACGCTTTTTGGGAATACCCTGTACAAACTTCAATATCATCATAAAAATCTTCTACTTGATAGCTACTACTTTTTCATTTGACATTTTTTCCAATATTGCTATATACTATTAGTTAATATTAAATATTATTAAATTTTAATAACACCTGCCATTAAAGAAGTCAAGTTGAAGAACAATTACCACAATGGAAATATGATATTAGCGGGCTTCTTGTATCCTTCACAGCTCAAATGAAGGTTAGTTAGCAAAATGTAAGATTCGACTTTTATATAGTTATATAAATATGTGTAATGTTTGTGAGAAGTAATAATAAATCTAACAAAAAAGATAACGCACTGTAAGAGGGACAGGAACTCGATTATCAGGTATGGCCCACTAGGTCTACGGGTCCACATCTGAGTCAATATTTGTTGAATTTTATAACTGTCTTCGAAACATCGCGATAAACTACCTTGGTTGATCCCTCTCGTCTTAACAATGAAAAAACCAAGGGTAACGATTTTACCCAAACGATTTTTAAGGGCTTTATTCGCTCGTCTTCTCGTCTTCTCTAGTAATACGATGGTTTTTTGGGTTGTTATGCCGTGGTCTGTGTACCAAGTCGCAGGCAATTACCTTTTACTTCCTTGGCATTAGTTAGGAATATTTGATCTACCTGCCTTTGTTGTTCTCAGGCTAGTCTCTGTGGGGGAGGATCGCTTATTACAACTTTTAGGTCCCCCCTGATGTTCATTTCGGTTCTTATTGGATCTACGTACTCCTCAGGCAATCACCTGAGATGTCCTATGTGGCCTCTGCAATTGGTCGCATTCAATGCTTCCAAATGTCGGCATCGTCAGTGGCGGCGACCGAGGTGGCGACTGAGGTAGAACGGCGAAACGTTTGAAAGCATTGGACAAGATATGAAAAAAGGAGTTTAATGGATTCTATTTCTAATAATAATTCGAACAATAAGAGAGCTGTAGTCAACAGAGTGTCTCAAAGTGTAATGTATTACAGCCCGATCACACGGTTATTTTGTCGAATTGATCAAAATGTTGAACGGGATAGAGGCGAATACACGGTTATTTTAGCAGGAACTAAGTAGGACTATAATGAATTTAAATATGTCGGGTAACGTTGGCCTATTTTTCAGAGTTTTTAAATATAGATTTCATGTCGAAATTCCCAACACGTGGTTTTTCGATGGAATCTACTTTATGTATCTTGAAGGTAATATTTTTACCAGTACTGCATTAAAAATTGTATACATATTTTTCAAATTAAGTAAGTACATAGGTACGTTACGTTAATTTCAGGTAGACATTAAAGTAAATGACTTTGATAAAAAAATCATGATTTTTATCAAAGGCTTATGTTAAGGATAAAGATAATGAATACATAATTTACTTTCTTGTTCCATATCTTCGAATTAG